CCACCAGGGAAGTCCTCTGTCTGTGGTTTAAGATACCCCGTCATTGCATGGACTACTGGACCAGAGCCTCATTGCCCTTGGGGGAGCCTTATCCTCCTTTTCTGAAACAAAATAAATAAGGGTCAATTGATGGAATTGACCCCAAACAACCATGACACAAGGGCCCTGTTGGCTGATTTCCTTTGATCCTCTCCTCGGTGTCAAATGGCATGTGGCTAACTAGGCAAAGTTCATATTTGTTATTGAGAGATTTTCTTGTCTTTTTCAAAAGACTTCCTTTCCAGGCTAAACTACCTCAGGTCCCCAAGTTTGTCTTAGGGGAAACATTTATTTTAGCAAACCTTTATGTGGCCCTTGCTATGTGCCAAGCATGATTCTAGGTACGTTATAAACATCAAACTATTTTATCCTCATGACAGCCCCATGAGATAGACATATGTGCTGTTATCATTTCCATTTTAGAGAAGTGGTGAAAATGGAGCAGAGAGGTTAACTAACTTTTCCAAGCTCACACTGCTTCTGAGAGGCAGAACGAGGCTTTGGGTCCTGGGGGTCCCCTCGCCATATTCCATGTTCCCTCACATCTCTCACTGCATGCTGCCTCAGCTTCTCTTAAGGCTGTGGAACGTAGTCAGTCACACTGTGCTAATGACAACTGGCCACGCACTAGTTTTGAGGACGTGGCACTGGTTTGCCTCATCTCTAAGATTCTGGTAGCAGCTTGTCTTATGCCCCTGTCTTTCCAACACTGCCTGTTCAGTGGCCCAACAATTTTCTCAGATTGTGTCAGAAAAATCACAAAAACAAGCGGGGGAGGCCAGGGTGGGGAGGTCAACAAGGCATGCAAGACACCTGTTCCTACCTATGAACCTAGACCTTAGGTAGGTGCCTGGATTGTTTGTATTTACTTATTAGCAGCAGAAATGGACTCTGGTTAACTTAGGGGGGAAATGAAGAAAAGAAAAAAGTAAAAGAGAAAATATTGGAAGGATTCTTGGTGCATTGATTGATCTGACCAGTTGGGCCTCAGAAAGGACTGGCAACAAGGCAGCCTTGGAGATTTCAGTAACAGAACTCAAGAATGGTCTTTCAGGGTGGTCCTAAGGAATATATCCACTCCAGATATTCTTCATGCTTATGTCATTCCAGTAAAGACATTCTATTCTCAGCAAAGAGAACGTGACTGGAACAGGTCCATCTATAGGGAAAGCGCTTGGTCAGGCTGTGGACCTGGCACATGGGATGAGGGAGTGGAGGTCCCGGGGAGGAAAGCAGGGAAGGACAGGGGCTGGGTGGGCACAACAGCAGCTGTCCACTCAACGCCCAGCACCCTGCTCCGCTGGCCCCCAGCACCTCTGCATCCTGGTCCTGCTGAAGGCCTCAACTAACCCCCGTCTGTCTGTTTCTGATCCAGCCTGTTGACCTGGTGCTGATCCGTCTCTGTCTCCTCCCTTGGTGACTTGGTGCTTGGGCTCTGGCACTGTTGCCACTGGGTTTCTAGTGTCTTTGTAGGAGGGCCTCACACAGAGTTCATTTCTAGTCCTGTGTTTGTGCCTGTTGATCATTACCAACTTTTATTCTGTAATTATTAATGTTTAAATGACATTTTCACTTCTGTCATCTCATTTAATCTTCTCAAAACCCCTACGAAGTCGACAAAATAGATACATTTCCACCATCTTGTAGACTCATAATCTAGCATTTAGAGAGACGGGCCAGCTCAGTTGTTAAGTAATTAAGAAGCCAATGATTGCACTAAAATTTAGGACTTCCAGTTTTGCAATTCTGAGTTGCTGCCCATTTATCCTAGTGTTATGGGTTACAGATTGCTATGCATGTCCCAAGAATAGTGTCTTTGATTAATAAACATCCTCTTATTTTTGAGAAAGGAGACAATAAGCAAGAAAATGGTAGAAAGTGGAAGACAGTTTTCTCTGCTGAACAATTTCTCATGGTCAAGCAAGAATGACACGTGTTCATGTCTGGGTGTTTGGAGTATCCAGCGTTTTGTTCACAAGGCATTCCTTTTTCAAAATCCCTTGATGAAGAACTGTCATGATTCACTCAGCAGGCAAGCAGGGCCCAGCTCTCACTGTGGCCGCTCTTCAGCGGACACGCACAGCCACGTCGTATTTCCTCTGGCTGTCACGGGAGAGCCCCCTTGCCTTCTGGACCTCTGTCAACACCGGTTGAAGGACAAGCACAAATGACAAACAGGTTGTGATTATCAGTGTTGTCAAACCTCAGTCCCCACTGAGTCCGTTCACATGTTCTGATTTTCCAAAACTAGGTTAGCAGATATAGCAGGCTGTCTGGGAAGCCAGCAGCCTGGCTGCAATGGGTTTTCAACAATCTTTAATGCTACCTGGAGATTATCTCAGGGATTCCTCTGGTGCTAAGGTCCTGGGGCTGTGACCACCTCTAGGATACTTTTTAAATTAAGGTATTAGGGAAACATCTGTGAATTTATTCATTCATTCATTCAAAAGATATTTGTTAAGGGCCAACTGTGTTGCCAGACGTTGTCCTGGGGGTTGCAGGGAACAATTTAAATTCCCTGCTCTCGTTCAAAAATCAAGTGCTCATAAATGTGAGTGTGTGTGTGTGTTTACACAAACATACATGGAATGGATCTTTGATACCTTAAAGTAGGAGTCACAGACTTGAGTGATTTTAATCCAGGTATTACGGTAAACCGGAGAGGCCCAGGAAATGGGAGAAGGCAATGGCAACCCACTCCAATGTTCTTGCCTGGAGAATCCCAGGGATCAGGGAGCCTGGTGGTCTGCTGTCTATGGGGTTGCACAGAGTCGGGCACGACTGAAGCGACTTAGCAGCAGTAGCAGTAGAGAGACCCAGGGTGTGCTCTCAGTTAGCATAACAAAACACCTCAGCATCAAGTGGCTTAATAAGACAGGGAGGATTTAATAGTAGAACTTGGGTTGGTCTCAGCTTGGTGTGTCTCCCTCTGATCTCCCCTGGGCTCATCCCTGTGGCTGTGGTCAGTGGTGGCTCAGTTGGGGCTGGATGGTCCAGCATGGCCTTCCTGTCTGGGGTATAGCCCTGGGTTATCAGCCAGCATTCTGGGTTCACCTGCTCATGGGCCCTCTGGCGAGCCAGCTTGGTTTGTTCCCATGGTGGCCTCAAGGCTCTCAGTAGTCAGTGAAGACGGGTTACCATGTTCAAGTGCTGTTCAAGCTTCTGATTGTGCTTGCATTTACTAGGGTCTCATGGAGCGAGTCACATGTGTGAGCCTGGAGACATGAGAGTTATAAGATGACAATGAAAGGGTAGGGTGCCATGAGGCCCCAACATTGTGGCCACAATTGCAGCAGTCTACCTAGATACCATACCACAGGCAAAGGGGAGCATGTGAACAGTTAGACAGCACGCCTTTCCAAACACCCAGCTCCATATTCTAGAGGGATTAGAGGTCCAGTGAAGAATCTGCCTGTAACGTGGGAGACCCGGGTTTGATATCTTGATTGGGAAGATACCCTGGAGAAAAGCATGTCAACCCACTCCAGTATTCTTGTCTGGGAAATCCCATGGACAGAGGAGCCTGGCGGGCTTCAGTCCATGGGGTTGCAAAGAGTCAGACATGACTTAGCAACTAACATTTTTCACTTTTCACAATTCAGATCCCTGGAATTGTAAAGAAAAGCCAGAAATCCAGATTTGTACATAAATCCTTTCCTATTGTAAATATTGTCAGTTAATGTAGAATGTTAAAATACGCTGTGACCAAGCCAAAATGCCTCTTTATTTGGGCTGAACTTGACTCCGGAGCCCCCAGTCTGTGGAGTCTGTCATGGGAGGTGGGACACCACAGCGCAAGGGGCTTTGTTTCTTAAATATTGGGAGCTTTCAAATAGCAAAACTGTAGGAGAGGACAATCAGTTCTTATTTTTACCAACTAAGGATTTTTTAAAAAAGTAATTGTCGTCAATTATATTTTGATTTTATAAAAGAGTTAAGCACGCAAAACTAGGAATGACATGAGCTCAGAATAAATGCACAGTTCTTATGTTACGACAGAATCTTACACGAAGTTTCTAATTTTTAAATTCTAATTCTTATTGATTTAATTCTTTATCATATACAATTTTGAAATCACCATATAGCTTAATTTCTTTAATCAAAGGTACATTTACTGTACACTTTCTCCTTCTGATAGGTTATTAAACAATCATTTAGTTTTATAAAAGATGATGTAAAATTAAGGAAATTATGATATTCTCATTTTGTCATGAATCAGCAAAAGCTGTGTTTTTTGTGTGGGCTGGTGTCTGGACTACTCGTGTGGCAGATGGAGCATTGGCTATGGAATTATGGATCTGAGTGTTAGCCCTGGCTTTGCTCTTTACTATTCATTACATCTTTGAGCCCCAGTTTCTTCATCTGTAAACTGGAAATAATAATAATACGTACTTATGGATTAGGATAATATGAACTGCCTTGCAATACCGGGCACATAATCAACACTTAATACATGGTAGCTATTGTCCACTTTCCGTTCAAGGAGTCAAGGGAGTTGGTACAGCAGATGGGCTGGCTGAATTCCAGGTGCAGAACCCGTGGATACATAGGGTTGCGGTGCATTCATTTCCGTGCAGTGTTGTGTTGACCTCAAGCCTGAAGGCAGGCGTCACTGCTAGCTGTGTCACTTCCTAGCAGCACATTCAGAGGGAAGCCAAGTGTAATTCTACAGTGAAGACAGCAAGTACAGAACGCCTGGGGCCGCCTGCCACCGCCTCAGCAGGCACGTTGAGTGATCACATCGCCGTTTGCAGCAGGGACACATCCTGTTCAGAGTTCATCTCCAGAGCTATTTCCACTGAGTGGAGGCCCGTCTTCTGGGCCTTGGTTTCCTCATCTATAAAATGAGCTTGGCAGCACTTGTCACTCAGCATGGTCATAAAGGTTAAATGCGACATCATATGACGTCATCACCATGGAAAGGGCACAGCTTGATGCTGCGGGTGAAGCAGACACTGACCTTCTGAGCAGCAAGCGTCTGTCCAGCTCTGGCTCTGTCCAGGGGTGGGCTGAGTGCTGGGGGTGCGGTGTGTTTGCTTGTCCTTTTTTTGTTTGTTTTTTGCATATTTGGCATTAGGCCACTCCAGGTCAGCCTTGCTTTACAAGGGTCCTTATCATGTAAGATTTAGATTTCTCTTTCTCTACCTTTGAGGTGAGGCATCATGCCTGTATGATCCAAACTTTTTGTTGAAAGCACCATTCCCCCACTTTTTCTCACCCCCTGTTTGTTGGAGCTCTGGGAGAGTGACTTTGGGTGGCCCCAAGCCTAGGTGTACTGTACCCGGGGGTATGGCCTCCTGGCTCTTGGCTCAGCTCAATATTAAAGGGTCCTCCCCTGTTCTGTCAGCAATGACCTTCTCCAATCCTGAGCTGTTCCAGCTGGTAACTGTCAACGGGGCTGCCATCCTTACATCAGCTGGTCTTGACTTCTGAGGTTCCTGGTTTTTACCTGACAATGGACTGACCTTCCTGGGTTCCTGACTGTGGCTTGAAAGTCTTAACCTGATTTAGCTCCTTTGTTTTCCCTATTTCACTTCCTGTTTTCCTTGTAGAATAAAGGAATGAGGTAGAAAGGGGTGGAGACGTCAGGGTTCGACAGACTTGGGTTCTGTGGCTGCTTAGTAGCCCTGTGATGCTAGGTAAGCTAGATTTTCTGGGCCTCGGTTTCCTCATCTATAAAATGAGCTTGACAGCACTTGTCATTTAGCCTGGTCATAAGGATTAAATGCGACATCATGTGATGTCATCATCATGGAAAGAGCACAACTCGATGCTGGGGGTGAAGCAGACACTGATCTTTTGAGCAGCAAGCGTCTGCTCAGCTCTGGCTCTGTCCCGGGGGCCGTTCAGCAGTGAGGAGAGGCGGGGAGCAGTGCACACAGCTACCTGCTCAAACAAGCTTACTGTCTAAAAACGCACACAGACAAGGAAATGAGTAAAGGAACAAAAGGTGCTGGATAGTAAAACACTCTGAAGAGAACATGTCAAGGCCAGGAATAGGGTAGGAAGACCAGCCACAGCCTCCAAGAGGAGGAGATGGTTGAGCCAAGACCTAGTTGACAAGAAGAAGCCAGACATGGGAGGATATGAAAGAAGCACTTTCTGAACAGAAGAACTGGCAAGTGCAAAGTCCCCGTGGGCCAGCACAGCCCAGGTGAGTGTGGGTGAGAGGCTAGCGAGGCTATAGAGAGAGTGGGAAGTAGAAGACCCTGGGGGAGGCAGGTGGCCCTTTGGAGGCTCAGGTACTATTGCGTCCCTTTCTGTCCTTCCTCCCAAATCTGGCCTCAGGCTGGTACCTCGTTATCTCCTCTGCCTTACAATTTAGCTTGGGAATCTTAGCCTAGTACCAAATTCTGACCGTGTTCCCAGTGTCTTGGTGTTAAGGACTTAAGGCTCTTCCCCGTTGCCCCCCACCCCGTACAACCAGATGCACAATTTATTCCCAGTTGCTAAGACTCATCTTTTGAGAAACCTATCCTTTCTTGCTGTTGCTTGTCCCAGTCGTTGCCTTGTGAAGCACTGTCCCATGCTTCCAGGTTTACACGTAGGTTTTGCATGTTCATAATTTCTTCTGAAAACTTACACTCTTCTCTCATCTCTCCAGCTACACATAGGGTCCTTCAAACAGAACCATCACTCCTTCCCTTCCTTTGGTAACCCTCCATGACTACTGCCTTGTTTAGCTACTGAGTAAATGAAAGCTCCCCTCTCCACTCGAGCCACAACGGGCATCACTGTTGACACCATCTTTCTGTTTTACGTTCTTTATAGCTTTCTCACTATCTAAGTTTATCTGGTCTGTTCATCGGCTGCCTGCCCCAGTGGAAATGTTGATGCCACAAGAGCAGGGACCTCACCTGTGTTTTCACTGTGCTGCCCCACGAGAAGCTCAGTGAATGAATGAATCTGCACTGAAGACTTGGCCTTTAGTGGGTATGTTGGTCAAGTTAGCCTCATTGGTCAGGTGATTCTGACTTCATTGTGCAAAGGAGAAACTTGTTCTGGAAAGGCATCTTATGCCTTCTCCCTGACTCTACTTCTTGGAAATCAGACTCTGGGGGTCTGCGGCAGACCTTTGGGTCAGTGCTTTGGGTCAGTGGCAAGATTGTGCATGTCCTGTTATGTCCCTGTGGCCTGTTTCAGTACTTGATCTAGAGGTGAAAAGTTTGGGAGCGTTGGCAGCAGCTGTCCTGAGGTATACATGTTCCCTGAAACTGTGACTTCATTTGCTTAATTCATTTCAACCATCTCCTTTTTAATTGACCATTTACAATCCCCCAGGACCATAGCAATGACCTGTGGGGTTAAGAGAAAATAATGGTGTGTCAATGATGAGCCTGCTCTCTGCGCCTTGACACCCACTTTGCCTCCCCCGCTGGCTTGGGGAAGATGTGGTTTATATTAGTGACCCGGAGAAAGTTCGTGCCCTCTGGGAAAAGTATGTCCATGAAATGGCAGAGTGATTAATAGTTTACTTGCAGCCCTGACATCCAGCCTGTCAGGACCCTTCAGTGGCCTTTGATGTAAAACACACGGAGAGGCCTTGGGCCATCCTTATCTGCTCAGAGGAGAGAAATCAGAAATGAAGAATGGTGGGCTGAGGCTCTGAATGGGGGACTTCAGGGGTTTAGATGGTGAAAACAGACAGGGGCCCGGGCATGGGGGTGGGCAACACTCAGCAGGGTGCTCTATCTAGTATCTTCTCTGAGTGCTCATTTTTTCCTTTTTAAAAATCTTGTCTTCTTCATTGGGTACCCCCATATCAACTCAGATCCCTCAAGTCACACAGGGTAATGATCTCACAAATTATATGAGGTGTTCCCAGGAGTAATGTCACGGATATTTGTATTTCTCAGAGTGGGTAGGTGGGTGGGTGCGTAATGGCTATGCCTTAGGGTTGAACCATTAATGATCATTTAAAACTCTCTGGCCTGTGGAAGGAGCCATGTTTCTTTAAGAGAACAAAAGAACCCCAAACGATCCCCAGTTGCCCAGGACAGAGGACAGAGTCTGCAAACAGGCGGTCTACAAGCTGAATCCAGCCCACAGCTGTATTTTGTTTGGCTGCAGAGAGCTGAAAAACTTTTCAATAGCTGCCAACATTTAACAATAAGATTTCAATTTCACATAACAATTTGGATTTCTGCTTTCTCTTAAAAGACTGGAGATCTGGAAAAACTGGGCTTGGGTTCCCTCACAGCCAAAGGGGCTGCAATTGAAGAGAGGTTTCTCCCCTTTAACCTGAACAAAGTCTCTTTTCACTGATTCCCCCCAAATGGTACTGTATGTTCATTGCCATTTATCACTGTGTTTGAACTGTTGCTTAATTTATTCCTCATCTACTTTATGCATATTTTGGGTGAGTTATTTAATCTATTTTCTTTGAAATCTCAGTGTTTTGATCAGTAAACTGGGGATACCAAAACCACCCTGAATGGTGATGTTCACAAGAGATAGCGCCAATAAAGAGCTTAGCACAGTGCCTGGCCTATAAAACATGTTTAGCAGGTGGTAGTGATCATCTTATTGTAGATATGAATTTAGGCCCTCCACTCAGTAGGTTCCCTCTGGTGATTCCATCTTGTTTTTGAAGCTAAACTATTCAAATCAATGCTTTAGGAAAAGGTTTTGCCTTTATAAAGACCGCCTCCCCACTTCCTCTTCCCTGCACTGAGATCAATAATATTTCAAAGTAGCCTGGATTTTGGAGTTTTAAAGAATTCTTTGAGGATGCTGATTGCAAATACTCCACCTTCTGAGGTGAGAATTTAGGAAGCACTGTGTGCCTTATCATTTCATGGTAAATTGGTGTTGAGCTAACCAGAAATGTATCTGGCTGAGAATGAATAGATGCAAAAAGAAATAGTCCTTAAAAAAGGATGTTAGGATAGTCTCTAGCAGTTCTCTGTCCTCCTGTGGAAAAAATGAGGCAAGGGAGAGCAGCAGTTGGTCTAATGAGTCACGACCCATAACGAGACACATGTGGCCTAAAGCACTTGACTCCTAGCAGACATTCTGTTTGCCTTCCTTACTTTGTAATTCCTCCTGTGGTTCTTCCCGGGCCTGTTACCTACAGCATGGCAATCTGGAAGCAATGGTGTTTAGTACAGTTTGATGTATGGTTTCAAATAGTTCTGTCTATAGCCATGAAACCTCACTTTGATACAAGGAGGAGGTTGGCTCATTTGGAATCAGGTCCACACAAAGGAAATGACCAACTCTTGATTCTTTTGCCCACATTATTTGCTAACTAGAAAGAGGTCTGTGCTTTTGGATGTGTGCCTCTGAGATGTTGATTTCCATCACGGCTGCTGTGGTGTGCTTAAATTGGCATGAACCAGAATGCTTTTGGATACAAGTGACAGGCAGATAAAGGTATTTTGTTATTTCATTCATCAAGAAGTCAAGTGTGGGTTTAATTCTTTCCTACAAACAGGGCTCAAGCTTTTGCAGATAGTTGAGCTATGTTTCCCACTGGCACTCGTGGGAGAGTCTTAGAATAAAATTCCAGGAATAGAAAAAAAAGTTGCTTTAGTACTAAAGCTCTGTTCTACGTCACATGTAAAATTTTACATTGAGGAACAGTTGATAATTCTTAGATGAAGTCTGTTAGGGCCTTATTTAAAGATTTTTTTCCTGTCACTTGTGAGAGAAGAAAAGCCATGTTGAGAGTTTGTTGACATCCATCAAAGGAGGAGAGTATCAGGCTTTCCTGGTGGTTCAGTGGTAAGGAATCCGCCGGCCAGTGCAGGAGACATGGGTCCAATCCCTGATCTGGGAAGATCCCATGTGCCGTGAAGGAGCTATGCCGATGCCCAACTATTGAGCCTGTGCTCCAGAGTCCAGGAGCCACAATTACTGAGCCCACGTGCTCCAACTGCTGAAGCCCAAGCGCCCTAGAGCCCATGCTCTGCAACAAGAAAAGCCACCGCAATGAAAAGCCGGCAGGGTGCAACTAGAGAGTAGCCCTAGCTTGCGGCAACTAGAGAAAGGCTTGTGCAGCAATGAAGACTCAGCACAACCAAAAATAAACAAATAAAAAAATTATTAAAAAAGGAGAAGAGTGTCCACAAGCTTGTGTAATGTGGCAGACATCATCTGAAATTTCTGGCTGCAGTGGTAGTGAGATGGCAACTGGATAAGCAAGGAATGCTCTGTGTTGGGTGGTTAGGGTGCTGGCATCTGGAGCAATAATAGCTGGTGCATGGTGAGGCGATCTCTTGGGGGTGGTGTTAGAAGGTGCTCTGACCACTGGAAGAGCATGTGAGTTCACAGCAGTAACTATAGAAGGTACAAAGTAAATTCCCAATTAGAGATGGTACCTTGAGAGAATAATATGCAAGGATCTGGGTCAGGATTTCTCAACATGTAACCTCTAGTCTAGCTGTGTCAAATCATCTGGCAGATTTCTTGATCTTACCCACCAGCCTTACGTTTAAAGAATTTTTAGCAGCATGGCCTGAGAACCTGCATTTTAATCAAGATCTTCTAGGAGATTTGAAGGCATAGAGAGCAGATGAGGCAATAAGAACCGTAGGACTCCATAGACAGGTGGCTTCAGAGAAGTGAACTGACTTTTGCATCAGAGTTAACCTGGGAGCAGTTGACATTTCTGGCCTCAAGCTGAAGGTGAAGACTCTCAGGTTTACACCTGAGGGTTGCATCTTTTGGAAGAGAACTGAAGGCCTCCAGCAGTTGACCAGCTCCTCACTCAGGACTTCTGCGTAATTTGGGGGCTGTACTGGATGGGAGGCCACAGGGTGTCAGGAACCTTTGAGAATCAGAGCATAATTTCAGCAGCTGGCAAGGCAAAGATTCATATTCAGGACCTGCCAGGAAGAGAGACTGTGTGGAATATACCAGCCTCTCAGCTGAAAAGCCCTGCCAAGGGAAAATAAGTTGTGATGTGGATGAAACCAGGGCCTCTCATGCAGAGTGAAGTAAGACGGAGAGAGAAAAACAAATACATCATATGTTAATGTATGTATATGGAATCTAGAAAAATACTACTGATGAATCTATTTGCAGGGCAGGAATAGAGACACAGATGTAGAGGATGGACTTATGAACACGGGGAGGGGGACGGAGAGGGTGGGAAGAACTGAGAAAGTATCACTTACATATATACTACCTGTGTAAAATAGACAGCTAGAGGGAAGCTGCTCTGTAGCCCAGGGGATTCAGCTCGACGTGCATTGATGACCTAGAGAGGAAGAGTGGGGGGTTGGGAGGAAGGCTGAAGAGGGAGGGGATATATGTATACTTATGGCTGATTCACATTGTTACAGAGCTGAAATTAACACTTCATTGTAAAATGATTATATTCCAATAAAAAGTAAATATATTAAAATTACAAGAACTACAACAGAGCTTTCACAGAACGCCACATTTATTGGCCTAGTGAAAGGTAGGGTGCACCCTCTTTAAAAGAACTTACTATCACATGGAACTTCTACACCCTTTAATATGCAATGTCCTTCCTTCATTCAGAAAAACTATTAGTCATGGCAAAAGAGAGGATGACAAGAATAAAAATCAAGAAATAAAACAAATAATAGAAATAGTCCTATATTGGATTAGCTAACTAGAAATTTAAAATAACTATGACTACTGTATTTTAAAAAATAAGGGAAAAGGTAGAGAAAATATATATTAAAAGAATTTTCCCAGAGAATTGGAATTTGTAAGAAAGGATAAAATCAAATTCTAGGAGGAAAGAACAATACCTGGAATTAAGAAGCTATTAGATAGGCTTAATGTCAGTTTAGATGAAGTGAAATATAGGAACAGGGTGATTGGAAATAACCAAGCAGAAGCACAGAGAGAAAAAAAGAATGAGACCGCAGGAAAGATGATTGAGACATGTAGGGCATATGTGTGATTAGAGTTCAAGGAAAAGGGGAGAGAGAAAAATTGGTCAGAGAAAGAGTAGGACAAAAGAATCTTTGAAGACATAATATTTAAAAACATTTCCCAAGCTGATGAAGGATATTCACACACAGATTTGGGAAGTTTTTCGAACCTCAAGCAAAATAAATATGGAAAAAAAAAACCACCCCACATACAGATGCATCATAGTAAGATAGTGGAAAATTATAGACAAAGAGAAAAATCTCAAAAAGAGTTAGGAAAAAGTGCACATTACCTTCAGAGGAGCAAAAATTACTCTAATAATTGACTTTAAGAAAATGAAGATATTTTTAAAGGGCTGAAAGAAAAACTATCAACCCAGAATGCTATATCCAGACAAAATATTCTTCAAAAGTCAAGGGGAAAAAAGAAAAATGAGAGAATTCATTGCCAACAAACCTCAATAAG